CTTGTCCTGGGAGGCCTAAATCCTTTTCCAGGGTGTAAAACAGGAGCTGCCTGTCCCTGTGCCCCCCTTGTCCTTGTGACAGGCAGGAGGAACAGGAGCATGTCCAGGAATCCACAACTGGAGTGTCCAGAGCTTTCCCTTCCTGGATCCCATCAGGAATTTCACTTTGGGTCCATCCTCGATACCCAGCTCCAGATTCCAACATCCAACACTTCTCTCTGGGGGAAAGTCTGGGATTGGGTTTAATAAGGTGCAAACTGAACACCAGAAGAGGATGGAGCAATTACAGCCAGATCCAAGGGCAGAATTCCCTCCCATGCCAAGCATCAAAGCACACATCCCATATCCCATGGCCTCTCCTCACCAGCACAGTCTTCCAGAGCAGGAGCAGCACCTTCTTCATGGGGAAGTGCGGAGCATGGCCGCTGCAGAACTTGGTCACCATCCCAAAGAGCATCACGGAGAAGGGCTCGTTGTTGTACAGGGGGGCTCCTGCAACCACACAGTAGGATTATCCAGGAATTCCTCATCCCTGTTCTCATCCCCACCAGCTCAGAGACCCCCATCCCACCCCAGACAGCTCCCTCTCCTCTCCAGGGCCTCAGACCCTCCATCACTTCTCACCTCTGTGTTCAGAGGAAACAATGCCCCATGTTTTTCCTGGGAAGAGAGCACCCAGCAGCAGGAAAGGCTGGATGGCTCCTCCTGCTCACCCTTCCAAGCTGAGCAGAAACCAACCCAGTGCTGCCAGTCCCTGTTAACCAAGGCCTGGAGGCAAATCCCACCCGCTGTCCCTCCCCAGGCCTGGCAGCTCCCGCCGAGCTCCGGATCCTCACCCAGCTCCGCTCGGAAGGTTTGCCTCATGCTCCTCCACTCGGGCTTGTCCCCCTCGGCCTCCTGGCGCACGGTCTCCACGATCAGGTACATGATGTTCAGCAGCACCCTGGAAAACACGGCTTGGGATGAGCTGGGATGAGCTTGGGAAGCACTGCTGGCACCCAGCATGCCGGGACGGAGATGCAGGAGGTGGGCTGGAGCTGCCTTGGTAACGTTTGTGCTCCTGCAGGTACATTTCTGGTCTCTAAAGCAGGGAAAACAGCCCTGGATTGGCAGGATGAGGTGAATTGTGAATATTTTCAGGGAGTTTTGGGCTCTAAACCAGGAAAAATAGCCCTGGATTTGCAGGAGGACGAGGTGGATGGTGGATGTTTGCAAGGATTTTGCTCCTCCTGGAATATGCTGGAATTGAACTGATTTTTTCCAGCATTTTCAGCCCACACCAGATCCAGATTCCATGCCAGTGCTCAGGGAAAAGGTCTCTCCAAGTCCAAGCCGGAAAAAATCTCCGTTCCCAAATTTTCCTGCTCTCACATCCCCGCCCTGCCCCGTTCCTGCTGTGCTGAGCACGAGGGACACCCATGGATGCTCACGGAGCTCTGGCCCCCCAGGGCCTGTCCCAGCTCCCCAAAAGTCCTGGAAAAGCCTGGCCCCCC